TCATGCCCATCTTTGCACTAAATGTTCCTTTGATATCTCCAATTTTCTTGAAGAGATCTCTTCAAGATCTTCAAGATCTCTACCGATTCAGTAGATGTCTTTAAATCTCATGCCAGTGGCTGAGCTTCTCATCCTTATTTTCTTTTTGGCAGAAAATTGCACCACTGAAATGTAACCGTTTTGCTGCCTTATTTCAATGGAATGGTCTTGGAAAGCTTTGAAGGCCACACATGGGGGCAGGGGGCCCAGGAAGCATCAGAATAGATCTGTGTTGCCCAGCCAAATATCAAGCATATCTCAAAGCACTGTCAATAAGGGATCCTCTGGGTAGAATCCAAGGATCCAGTCAAACATTTACAGCTGAAAAATGTTTTTTATGGGTGCTGTGAGCAGGCATTGCCTAGTTATAGAGTCTGTTACATTCTCCCTTTTTAAGTTCATATCGTCCCCATCTTGCATAAGCAATGCAGCTGCTGAACAAACAGCAGCAGTCAGGGGAGGTTGTCTGTTTGTTTATTGTATATTCATCTGTTTTCTGCCGCTTCAAAGGTTTGCGTGGTGTCTGTGATGTGGAGTGTACACGCTGTCTCTCCTTCCTTTTTCCCATTCTTGAGTCCTGTTTTATATTTTACTGAGTTGTAGCTGGAGCAGATCGGTGACCTCCCAGGTGTTACACTTTTTATAAAGTAAATTAAAAGTACAGTATCTAAAAATGAAAATAGCAAGTTGAAAGATAAAATAAAATAGAGTAAAACAGAGAGCATAGACTCAGAGCTCCTCAACCATCGCCATCTTGAGGCCACTTCCCCTTTTTTATAGGCTGGTAGCTCAGATGTGGTAAAGGCCATAATGCAAATTAATTACCAACCTGTGGCCTGGTTGTGTAGGAAGCTCTTATATTGGTGTTGGACAATCCTAGCATTTCCTTGGTAGTTATGATGTAAGACTGTCTTAGATTAGTGCTAGTTAGAGACGGTGACTTGAAGATTTCTCTGAAGTTACTTCTGATGGTTTACAGAGAAATGGCCTCAGCCCCTCATCCAAGTGGCATCAGATGACATTTGATGGGTCAGCCTGTGATTCTTGTCAGCATGAATATTGTGCGTACAATAGCTGGTTAGACTGCAGCTGGGCCACTTGAAGTTCCTCTCCAAGAAAAACGGAATCACATCCCAGACAGTTTTTCTTACTTGTTTAAAATCTTAATTCAGAAGGTTGTGGGGCGGGGGCCCACATAGCTTTCAACAGAACAGTGAGCAGTTAGGATAATTGCTCTATCTAAAGGATTTTCTCCATTTGCTGTGTCCATAGGGGTGATTTAAAAAGTCAAAATGGCAGTCACAACCATACACTCAAAGCCCCACCCCCTTTTTTATATGCATGTCTGGTTTGGCTGCCATCTTGACTTTTTTGGATTACCCCCCCCCCCTCCATTGTGGACACCCCCTGAGCTTGCAAGAGTATATTTTGAAAGAAGAGATACCAGACTTCAAGTCTGCCAAGGATGAAGTCCTCTGCTTGGGAAATTGGTTTGCTTGTTCTGAGATGTATTTTAGTTACTTCTAATGGGCACATTCAGATCATTTCAGTAGAATGAGAAGGTTTTTATCAGCTTATCATACCTTTTCCTGTAAAATTCTGGGGGATGCAATTTTGTGAGTGTATGAGAATATATTCTAATCTAATCCCCTTTCTCTGGACATAAGTAACCATGACATCAGATAGACTACATGTGTACAATATATTAAAGAGGATCAACACTTCATTTTGTTTCCAATGCAGATCAATGTCTCCATGAAATTTCCGGGGGTGATCTGGAGACTAGGAGCTGATGATACCCATACTCATTTGTCTATATTTTCTTCAGAAAATGGTGGGGTTCCCCTGAATACCTGCCTGCAGACAGGAATGGATTAGATTAGGGATAATAAATGGACAGGGGACGGGGTGGTGCAGCAGCTTAATGACGCTGAAAGTTGCCGGCCAGAAATGGTCGACGCTTCAGCGGTTCGAGTCCAGCCTTCGCGTTAACAGGGGGAGCTCCTGTTTCCTCCCCAGTTCCTGTCAACCCAACAGTTTGAAAACTCATGTGAGTAGATACGTACTCTCACTCCAGTGGGAGGAAAAATGCTGGCAGCACCTTGCAAAAGGAGTTGGGAGCAGTTGCCGGTAAGCGCGAAAAACCATGCGCGCCCGAAAAGGGCGCAAAGCAATGGAAACCCCGCCTCCTGCACTCGCCAGCTGGGCTCTGCTCTAAGAAGGAGGCTCTGGCAAACCACTTCCAAAA